AGTGGCTGAGCTGTTTAATGTGGGAAATAGGAGGCTTATCACCCTCTAAAGCCACCTAAAAGCAGACTGTASACAGATGGGAGTCAAGAAATGGCCTCAAGTTGCAGCAGGAGACATTTAGCTTRGCTGTTAGAAAAAATGTCTTCACCAAAAGGGCTGTTGTGCCCTGGAACAAACTGCCCAGGAGAAGGGTTGAGTCAGCATCCCTGGAGGAATTTAAAGACTYAGGACATAGCTGGGTGGTGGACTYRGCAGCRTTAGGGTTACAGTTGGACTYRATGATCTAMAGGGTCTTTTCCAACCTAAATGGAAAAAACTCTATGATTCTAAAAGGTGCCTTCCCAATCTTAAGAACACGTAATGGTCTTGTGAAACACTGATGTTTCCTGAAATAAATCTTTTAGGCCAGTAGGAGCCATTTAGGCTGGTACCTAAGTGGATGCCCAGTCAGACCTTTGTGTATGCCTAAATAGCTGTATGCCTGAATAGCTGAAATCTCTTTAGGAAGTGGAGGGCAGAAAGAAAAATATTGCTACTTGAGAGATGATAGCAAACAATAAAATATTTATTTCTTGAGGCAAAGCTTTATAACCTCCCAGATTATATTTAGTCTGGGCCAGTCTGGGCTACCTGGAGGAAAAATGGGAGGGTTAATGCTTCAAGTAAAGATTTGGAGTGATAATCCTGATGCTGAGTTTCCAAAGTAGTTAACTGCAGTTTCTGAGGTAGGTGCTAAATAGRCATAATAGTTCTTGAGTGTGGATACTGCCATTGCAGAAGCTGCTAATTGACCTCCCCTGCTTGATGCTGCTGATTGCTGCAAAGAGCCCCAGCAGCCAGCCTGTCCTGCTGTTCTCCTGTAATGAGACTTTGCTCCTTGGGTCCAGCAAGCRCAATAAAAAGCGACACTGCTGAACCTGCCAGGGCAGAAGCATCAGCAGTAAAAAATAACTGCAAAGGCAAATACAGGATGTCATTGTAGATGTAAAACATCATTTGAATCGGTGGRCTCCAAAGTACTGAGGGAGGTTCAGCTGCCCGGATTTCCACTGTGCTGGAAGCAAACCTTGCTGTGCAGGCCAGTGCAGATGCGTATTGGGCTGTGCCTCTGCTAGTCAGAGCGTTCAGATACCAGTTCATAGTTTCACGTGGAGCTTTTGTTATTTCCTTAGAGAAACATCAGCTTTCCAATTTATATTTTTAACTCAACTTCATTTCATTCCTTCCTATCCTTTCCTTCTATCCATTCCTCCTGTTAATTTAAAACTAATAATTAGTCTAAAGTATGACCTACCTCATGTACTTTTGATGGGGATCTAAAATAACAACAGCTCCTCCTCTGCCTTTAAGCTTCCATTCAAGATTCTCTGTTTTGTCCCTCAAATATGTTCGTACTGTTTGGTTCCTCCCTTGTGAAAAACAGGCAGAGATCMGGACAAAGAATGATTCAGCTAGCACTGCCATGGGGACAGGGAAAGTACTCTAATTAAAAGCATCAATAGCTTTGTCATCTTAATTTACCAGTGTCCTGCTGGGATTTCTCTGAGCCATCACACCTCCTGAAGCTGCCCCTTTCTTCCTGTGTTCCAACCTGTGTGGARAGGTTTTGTATAGCTCAGAGTTTCTTCAGCACTGGATCAAAGAGAGGAAAATAAGGTAAATCTCAGCCTGCTCAAGCCTCTTATGTTTGTAAAGAAATGGAAGGAAAGTGATCTAGGTGTAATTCAGAGCTAGCAGGTAGAGTTGCTCTCAGTGTACGTGGGACAAGTTCCTGCCTCTGAATTAGCAGTGTTATTAAGAGCACTGGCTGAGTTTTAGAAGACAACATCTGAAAATCACATAAGGAAGCTGGCTGAGCTCTTAATTAGTGACAGAAAGGTGCACCAGAAATAGAGCAAGGCAGGACATGGAGTCCAGTGATGTAATGTTATTCCCTACAGCCATCTTTGCGCCCTCCTGCAGTTAATGAGAAGTCAGGGCCTTGACATTGACCCTGCATCGTGTTAGGGCATGGAGCAATTTGTTAGGTATTTGTAGATCCTGTTTTCATTTGTGWTTTCTTAGAATGAGCTGGAAATTATATAAAGAGGCATCAGAATATGATGGTTGATGGCAAGCACTGTCATATCATTAAGCAGTAATTTTCTTCTCTTCATCCCACCATTTTACAAACATGTCTAATAGCAACAGAGAGAKGAATTTCAATTCTGCTGAAGTGGGTTTTTGTTTGTTTCTTAAATGTATGGGTTGTTAGGGCCATTTTTGCAGTTTCTGCAGTGAAAGTTTGCAGTTAGTCAATTAATTTGCACTCCTTCACTGTCCTAGATTTGTTGCTGCAGAAATGGGAGGAGAATATTTTACAGGAAAATCTTTTGTATTCTTGTAAGGACTATTTTGCTGTATTTAAAGTAAAACCTGTGTCTTTTTGGTTCTGTATTAACAAATTAATAGAAAACAGTGTGATTTTAATATAGGCAGAATTTATGGCAAGTCTTGATTTTRTCCATTTTAAGAAATGCCTTTCAGCTGCAAGAGTTCTAAAATCAGAGGGCAGTCTTTCACTTTATCAGGCCATTCAGCAATTACCTGCTCTGAATGCTATGAAGACCTTTTCTGGAAGAGTTTTTCATTCACCCTCATGAGGCTGTTGAGTCTTCACTGGTGTACACTTGCTCCCTTAGCAATTTTGCAGGGACTGAATGGGCATCTAGAAGCAAACAGCATTTCAGGTCCTAAGGGATCATTTTGTTTTCCTCTTATTATGTGAAGTATTTCCCCTAATAACAGGGAGTATCTCAAATTGGAGGAGCAGTTTTTGCTTTTTCATGTGATGCAAAATACCATTATAGATTTCAAATTACAAAATGACACTTAGGTGAAATTTGAACAGGTACTAGCCAGTTTACTGATTGAATATATATTTGCAAGTCTGTTGTAATTTTGCTCTTATGAGAGAGAACCAAAAAAGGACAGCTTTTTCTGGCTCTAGCAGAAATGAAAATTAGGATTCAACTTGCAAAACCAAAGTTGCATTTCTCCCGTCCTGGTGATCAGAATGAGTGCAAGAAAGGGCCAAGAGAAAAATTTGTTCCAGCTTTGAATTTTACTTCCATTTATAGMTTGGTATTGTAAAACATTGCTTCTATTTCCATGAATTTGAAGTTATCTGATCTCTTTAAAAATCCTTGTTTCATTTTTAAAGATTGCTCTTACTCAGCACCATCTAGTGGAATGACCGCTGTTGTCATTTAGGAAACCACTGCTCTCCGTGAGCCATAATAGCAGCTTAGAGCATCGAGTCCTTAAAGTGTGAATAATGAACCTAAAACATGTTTGTGACTGATGAAGGAATAGAACCAGAGAGATTTCCAGTGCTTTAGTGGAAAAAAAGTGGTGAGAAGGAGAGGAAGTTTAAGATAAATGCAGGTAGTCATGCCTGTTATCTCCTGTGTTCCTTTAGTCCATTAAGCTCCAGCCTGTTTTTCTGCCTTAACCGTGTGGTGCCATCCAGGTTGTAGCTTCTCGAAGGCAAGATTTTGGAATACTGTTTCTTTGTGCAATGCCACACAGCACAAGCCCCACAACCTCATTTGTCATTGAGATACATGTGATAAATACAAGCTGAGCTCTGAAGTCCTCACCCAAGAAAAATGCCCTGGAGTCTTTCTCTTTYCAGTTGCAGGCAAGGAATTCAGTGTTTGGCTCTTTGAAAAGGCATAATTTTCTTCAATACAAAAAACAATCCCTTGGAAAAACCTCCCTATTGAGTACATATATACACTCCATGAAATTGTCAGGCCCTCCCAGCAGCTGCCTCAGGACTTGGGAAAGCAAGGGGATCTGTGACTCAGGTCTTTGGGGGTGCATGGGAAYGTATTTCTTTTTCCAGCTTTAAAAAGGAAGGGCTGAATCTCCAGAAAACTTAATGTTTTTAGAAGGAATGGATGATTTTCCTCAGAAACACCTGGCTACATCAACAGCATCATATTCCTCTCTCTAAAATACATAACTTTGGCAGCAAGCCCTTGGTTTTGAAGCTACAGTTGCAAATGAAGGGGCAGCAAAGGGGAAGATCCTGACTCTCTGGGCAAAGAATCTGACAGAAATCACAGATGTGGGGGTGAGAGCAGGCAGCCAGCACACTCTCTGTGTGCAAGCACCAGAGGCAAAACATCTCCAGTGCAAGGAGCAGCAAGCAAGAGGACACGGAGGAAACGAGGAGCAAAGTTGCATTGTAGCAAATATAGCAAATTGTAAATCTTCCCCTTTAAGCTTCCTTGAATTTCAGCATTTCATCACTTTAGGGTCTGCTGCTTCTATTCAATTCACATGTTTTGGACAATGAAAATAAGTGGGTTASTTTTGTTCTGTAAATTTATATGCATTAGCACAATAACGTTGTGCTGAGGTTTCCAAAAAAGCTGTTCTTAAATAATTCATAGAAGCATTTCACTTCATTTTTCCAAAATCTAAATATGCACACTAGTTTAGGGATTTTTTCCCCCAATTTTGGGGAACACATTTTATTATCATCATTCTCTTTCCTAATTTCCTACATTTTTAATGTTCAGCAGTCAGAGTATCACTTCTTTACTGGCCTACTCACAATATTGTGCTGCAATGTAACCTCTCCAGGCAGAATTGGCTGGTTTTTCAGACCAGAAGAAAATAAAGGTTTAGGGATTTTYCCTTTGTACATTTGAAGTTTGAGACAATCCTGATTGTAGTGTAGATATTCATCTGGTTGAGCAGGTGTAGTCCTGTTTGGAAATCCACTTTAYCCTGGCAGGAAACATGAGTCCAAAAAGATCATAACATTTACTTAACAAATTTAGTGACAGAAATTCTCTTTCGTTATAGGTTTGAGCATAAACCCTACATGCTAGAAAATAACATTTTGCAAAGGAGCTGCTGTTGGAATAGGTGTGAACCAAATATCTTGAACTGGGAGTTCAAGAAAATACTYAAAATTGTTTCCTCTCTTTCTGTTTCTCCTCTAGCTCTGGGATTGTACACAGTAAATGCAGTATATGGAGACACTATTACATTGCCTTGTCCTCTAGAAGTACCAGATGGTCTTATGTTTGGAAAATGGAAATATGTAAGTATACCTGATCTTCGTATTTATTAGAGCTCTTATAAGATGATGTGTATTTTTGGGGTGCATGGGTGAGATTATAAGATTCCAAACAAYAGGAATCTGCCTTATATATGAAGACATTTATTCCTGTGCTTGTYAAGACTGCAAGATTCCAAGCTGTATGATTTCAGCCAAGCTCAGATTAGAGGTTTGAAGAATTAATCTCATTGTTGAAGAGAAATAATTATTCAGGAGTTCTCTGCCAGCCTGTATCAGTGATCTGGTGTGTTATCCTGTCCCCACTCTGTCTTGCWCACCTGCCAGAGCCATCATTGTGCATGTGAGCACTTTGGAATTCTGCTGCCTGGAGCAGAGAGTGCTGCATCCCTGGGAAAGCACTGTCCCTGCCTTTGGTGGATCTGACAGTCACTCACAACTGTTTCAGGCTCAATGCACGGCGAAGAAGAGAGCAGAGCTGACCTTGGGAGCATTGCTGGTGGTTTCACTCTGCTGTTTCTGGCACAGAACAGAAGCAAAAATGGGGGTGCTCTCCAGGTGTGCTGCTCAGCCTGCAGTAGGAACACCTCAGGATCAGCTGCTCCTGGATGGGATCAGTATCCCGTGTCAAAAGGAGAATCCGCATATCAAAGTCAAATGTGGATAAAAACACTGTGATAGCAGGYCCCTTTTGCTTCTCAGACTGGTATTGAGACATTGAGACAAATGGTTTTCCTGCCTCTGTGAAGTTCATCTAAATCTCCTCTTGTGCTCACACAAAATGTACCTGCAATAACTGATGATTTCTAGTTTGACAGTGGATTTTAAATTAATGTAGTTATCTCTCTCTCTTTGCAAATGGCATTCACCAGCCTATTTTACAGCAGAATGATCTTCCAGTGGCAGGAGGAGTCCTATTTTCCCCTAGCTCCTACCTTTTCACCTTCAGGTTTGCAGCTTTTGCAGCCCACATCCACCGAATAATTCCTTTTATGCAAACACGTTTTGGGAAATGAAGCCAGAAGTCTGGGGAGAATGCTTCCCAAAAAGAGACAGCAAAACTCTTTCATATGAGCATTCTGGAGTGCCTACATTTTGCAGTATCTCTTTCAGTCTGCTGACTTTTCTTGGGGAGACACAAGTCCATCTCTCTGAAGATGCAAGGATACTCTGAAAAAAAGAAGCACATTATCTTTTTCCATTTCATTTGGATTGTCTGGACAAGCAACAAGTGGAGATGTTATAGCTTCTTCTAAACAGAAAGGGACACAAAAATTAACATACAAAAAAAAGCTCATCTGAGTGCTATTGTATGCAATTGTTGACAGCCCACACAACCAAGTGAAAGTGGAACCATTTCTCCCAGGACAGCTCACAGCATGGCAACAATTGTTTTGGGCAAAGAGGAGGGTTGGATTAGGTGATTATTTCACTGGAAGAAGGACGAGCTCTGTTTTCTTCTCTTCTGCCTTGTGAGGAACWATTTGGGTTCCTGGTGGGAATGTGGAGCCACTGGCAGACTTGGACCATGTTTGGTGYTTCTTGCTTCAGTGAGCTGTAGGAGTTGGGAGCTCATTTGCACKTCTTGTGTCTCGAGTCAAGACAATGTTTTCTTTCCTGTGTGACAGACATCTAGAAAACTYCAAGACATAAAAGTAGGAGAGAGCTTTTAAGTAGAAAGGTTTTAAGGGAATTTAAACTTCACAATGAGATGACGCCTCCTGCTCTCTGCCCAGCTGACACCACTCATCTCTTGTCACAGCATCATCATGCTTTTGTGGGCTCTGCAGTCAAGCTGAGGTATTGTGCTGGAACACTGCTAATATCAGTGCTGTAAGGTATAAGGGATAAAAGAGAATGGAAACCTTTCCCAGCCCCCAGCACAATACTGAACATAAAGATAGAATCAGTGTTTCACCTCTATTTAAATAAAGGCAGTGTCTGTCCCTGCTCTGTGCATGTGTTTGTGTGAGGAGGAAGGAACCAAATCCTGTAGAACTGCCTCTGTAACTTCATCCCTCATAAAAATAAATTTTTTGTATGAGAGGTTTGTGCAAGGCTGTCAACTTTGTGTTCCTTCTTGGGAAGGCAACAGCATAAGGAGGATATCTAGAAAATGATACTTTGCAGATTAACAATATTTGATTGCATGTATATTCCCATGCTACAAGCTCTYGGGTCCTTTAAAAACAAAGGAAAARAAAAGCTAAAACCTAATTTAGAATAAAATAGGCAGTTACGCCTGATTAAATCCTGCATTTGGAATGAAGTCTAAATATCCCAAACAAACAATATGAATATATGAGGCAATAATGAAAAAAAGGAAATTGAAGCTGTTGAGACTAGCTCACACATGCTTCTATTTCAAATACTTTTTCATACAGACAGTGGCAATGCTGCCAAAAACACCAGCTTTTATCAGAGAAAGCCCTTTGCTATGCTGAGATTGAGCCAAAGGATTGAAATAATTTCTGCTGATGATGTTCTCAATGTGTACCATGGCAGCCTTAAACTAACTCTCTTATTATACTGAATTTCTTATTATACTGAATTTCTTCTATGTACAGCAGAAATTAATCAGTTAAAAAAAAAAAAAAAAGCCATCTGATACAGTTTTCAGATCTTTTTTTAAATTATGGGTTTGTGCCAGTTGCAAATCATCAGGAACTTTTAAATGAGAGTTTATGCAAAATAGAGGTGTTTTTCCTTTTATTATAGGAAATGCCAAATGGATCTCCAGTATTTATTGCCTTCAGATCATCAACAAAAAAAAATGTACAGTATGATGATGTACCAGACTACAAAGACAGGTTGAATCTCTCAGAAAACTATACATTATCCATCAAGAATGCAAGAATCAGTGATGAAAAGAGATTTGTATGCATGCTMGTTACAGAAGATGATGTTTCCGAAGAGCCGACGATAGTCAAAGTTTTCAGTAAGTATATCTAGTTGTTACTACCATTAACAYTCATCAGCAGCTGAATCATAAATTACAGAAACTTTTGTTTAAGGCAGGATTAAAGCCAAGAAAGTAGGTTTGGCTCAGTAAATTACTAAGACTAGCAAATTTCTRCAGCTTTCAAAAATGTAATCTACTGGTGGCATTTATGTAACGGGACTGCCTGCACTTGCAGTTTATTCATGGTAAGTGCTGGCTCAAAGAGAATTTTAGGCTTTGATAATGACTCACTTATGTGATGTCATTTGGCCTTGGAAATGAAAAATGTAAAATTAGCATTGATTATTTTCCATTTGTTCTCAGAGCAAATTTTTTCTGCAAGAGGGAAACATTAACTGTGTGCGGTCTGTAGGAGCAGCTCAGGTGAGGGGTTTGCAGTGGCTCTGAGCAGCTGCAAGGGCAAAGGGAGAGAACAGGAGGCTGGAAAACGAGCCACCAGCCCCAAATGCTTGTTTTGTCCCGTGCTGAATGGTAGGAAGGAGAAGTAGCAGTCTGCTGTTCTCTCCTCAAGCACAGTGAGGTTTCTCAGTGTTTGGTGTCCTGTCTGTAGGCTGCTCTGCAGTGAAACCCCAGCCCTGCGAGGCACAGCCCCGCTCAGAGCTCAAAAGCACAAGCCTGGTCCCTTCCTGGTGCTGATTCAGAGTAAAAGTGTAATCCATATCCATTGTGGCTTTTTAGGGACACAGGGATGTGACTGCAGTGTCTTATCTTCCTCAGCTTCACTTTTTTATATGGCTTTTGGCCTTTGCTGCTCTTCACGTGCAGATTTACACAGTCACAGTGTGTTGTGGGAACAAACTGAATGCAGTCTCAAAGAGATCATGCTTTTCTTGGAAAACACAAATCCATGTTCTGGAAGGGCAGCCTTTTGCTTCTCTCAGGTAGAAGGTGTCAGGGAGTCCTCAGTGATGTCTGTGCTGTCAGTCACATAGGTGAGTTTAAAGCTCGATTAGGAGCCAATAGCAATTCCCTCGTTTCACTTTCAATTTGACTGCAAGAACAATTGAATTAATGACAGCGGGGAGGAGTGAGCTCAGAGCAYGCACAGTGAACACAGTGCTTCAGAGGAAATGATAAAGAATCATCATGTTTACTTATTGCACAGTGGTAAATATGTAGATGAGGCAGTGATATATGGCGAAATGAAATGCTAACTGCTTGAATTACTGTGTGCTCTACTAAGTATTAACACAATGCTAACTCAGCCATGGAGCACAGCTTGTCTGGTTTATTCTGTGCATTAATACTAATAGAGAAAGCTTCTGTTTGCTAAGGAAGATAAGAAGGGAGGATGCCATGCATGTAACATGGCTAACTTAGCGCTGCAAGAAAAATTACCTTTGCGTTTTTTCACTTAGCAGTCAGAACTTTATTTATGGTTCTCTTAACTTTTCTTTGCATTTCATTTTCTTGAGTCTGGTTTTGAAGTTTTCATTTTTAGTTGCTTGCTTGCTTGCTTGCTTTAATTGTAAGAGAGTTAAGAGTAGCTGGCAAGCTTCATTTATTTAACCAGCAGAGATTCTAACTCATTGAGCCACAGGTTGCCTCATAAACCAAAATCTTGCGGACCTGAAGCTCAGCTGCATCCCAGAAGTCCTGACTGATTCTGGCTTTTTCTGKAGCTCGTTCAGTCCTGTGCCCCCTGATTAACTGAGAGCTAACGAGCTGGAATGGCTCATTGTGCAGGTACCACCTGCTRTCCTCGCTCACTGCCTGCTCAAACAAGCACTAGCAGCTTTCCAGATGGATCCTGTCAGCAACTTTTTTTGTGGAATTAAATGGCCATCCCCCAGAGCAGAGCAGCCCAGCGGACAGGAGCTGCYGTCCTGCTGCAGCAGCGCTTGGCTTTTGCAGGCAGCGAACTCTTTTCCCCTSTATTRTGAGGCTGATACAGAGTTGTAAAGKACTCTGGCAAGCTCTTAAGCCGGGAGATAAGCAGCGTGCTGAAGTTGCAAACCCACCAAAGTGGCGTTTGCTGCCAAGTTTAGCGTTTTTCCTCGCTTCAGACGCTGAGCTGGTAAATGCCCAGGAAGGGTTTTGCAGTGAATTACCTTGGTGCACGGGCAGCAGCGGTGAGAGCTGGCAGCTCTTCTTCCCGGAGAGCGGGTGGCAGCCTCTCCTCTGGAACATCTGCTGGGTGACAGAGCCCTGAGAACGGGGACAGAGCCCCGAGAACGGGGACAGAGCCCCGAGAATGGGGACAGAGCCCTCAGAACAGGGACAGAGCCCTGAGAACGGTGACAGAGCCCTCAGAACGGGGACAGAGCCCCCAGAATGCAGACACAGCCCTCAGAACGGGGACAGAGCCCTGAGAACGGGGACAGAACCCTCAGAACAGGGACTAAGAGCCCTGAGAACGGGGACAGAGCCCCTGGAACGGGGAAAGAGCCCTCAGAACGGGGACAGAGCCCCGAGAATGGGGACAGAGCCCTCAGAACGGGGACAGAGCCCCTGGAACGGGGACAGAGCCCCCAGAATGCAGACACAGCCCTCAGAATGGGGACACAGCCCTCAGAATGGGGACAGAGACCCCCACACAGCAGCTATGGAGCAAGGGGGCCGCCCTTTCCCTTGTGGGATCACCAATGCACCAAAAATGGGATCTTCTCTGCCCAGTCCTGAGGGAGGTGAGACAGGAAAAGAAAGCTGAGGTGGGGGAAGGTGTCTGGGATCAGCTGGTGACTGGGACAGGCTATCCCATTTATGTGACCCGAAAATCTGACACAGAAGGCCTGTTGATGGTCTTGTAAAACCATGTTTTCTTGAATTGACATGAAAATATTTTGCCCTTGGCAGGATCTTACATGAAAAAGATTAAACTTTTTCCTTTAAAGCTAACAAAAGAGAAATAAAACATGCATGTATGTCCTGAAATTAAAGATCTTTAWTAGTCCTTTGAAGAAAATCTGCTGGTCTTAATGTGTAGCTTTGACTGTTTCTTTTGTTTGGTTTTGTTTTTTTGCCACAAGTGAAGTAGTTTGAAAATGCGTGGCTTCTCTCGTTCACTTTCATTTCCCTTTGGACCTGTTTTTGTTCCATCCTGATGCAGCCACGCAGGTGAAGAATGTCCATGTGCACAGCAACACGCACACAGCAAATGGGTTATTGGGAGAACACACGGGGGCTGTTCCCTCTGACAGCATCTGCACATCWGGAACTTCACCAGTGTGGGCACAGACTTTGGCAAGGCAGTGGTGAAGTTCACTTAGGGCTGAGATTATTGACACAGAGTATTTCACGGGAAGATTGATTTGGGGAAAGGGTTCTGTAAACCAACGTGGTTGAGACTGTTACAATCTGTAAAAATATACTTGTTTAAGGATAGGGTGTAGAGGCTTTCCTTGACTGTGTAGACATTGATGTATTTTTTTTTCACTTCACTCTTCCCCTCTTCTTTTAAAATTCTTGGGAAAACTGTCTCTTTTGGAGATAAAAATTTGCATTCCGGGCTTCAGGCCAAACTGTTTTAACAGACAAGTTATATAGTCTCTAGAAAGTAGTCTTTTATGATGGAAACACTGATAGATCCTCCACTTTGGCAAGCTAAAAGGTCCATCTACCATAATAAAAGTAAATAAGAAGACATACTGGCACTGAAGAAAAGGTTTATTTTTTTTAAGAGAGTCATAACTAACTCAGAATTGATTAAAATAATTACACTTCTCTCTATCATCTGAATTTCTTAAGTGTAATAATCCCAGTTAGGAAAAATAAACATTAGAAGAATGATTAGGTTGAATTTGTTCCTTTATAATGTTGACRGCTCAGCKACAGTAATATCTGCAGGAAAGCTGCTTTTCTGTACCAGTGGCTCCTTCTCCAGCCTGTGTATCCTATAAATCAATGGATCAGATCAGGTTCTCTCCTCCTGGGTGGTGAATTAGTCTGTCTGGGCTAAAAATGTGTCATCAGAATACACGAATTCATTACGGAAGGGGTGACACATTTAAAGGGAAAGTTTGTTCTTGTCAATCCATTTGCTAATATTGAAATAGAAGTACCTCACCTTTTTTTCTTTTAATAGGAAGAATATGTAAGACTATGTCAGGCTAGATTATTCTGTTAAATTTCAAAAATCCACCTACTTTTAGTATTTTTTTTGTTTTTCAAACAGCTGTTTGCGCTTCCTTCACTAGTACTTTTATCCTATTTATGTTTTAGAACAACCCTCTCAACCAGAAATCTTACATCAAGCAGATGTGTTAGAAACAGAGAAGCTACAAATGGTAAGAGCAGCATTCTCCCTCAAAGTTGTGTTCCTGTCAGCTGCCTCAAGTCCCTTTACAGCCCGAACAGAGGTGATGGCTCAGAGAGTGAATGAGCCTGCCTGTGAGTCTGCAGCCAGGCTGAGCACTGAGCAGTTGCCTTGCCACTGCTCTGTTTATTCCTATCCTGATCTTAGACCCACCACCCACTTCAAATTGTACCTCACTGATTTGATTTGTCCTATTTAAGAAAAGCTGTTGAGGCTAACCATTTGAACTTCTGAGAAATTTTTACCCAAAACGGCATAAGTAAAAGCAGAATTGTGTTAAAACCTGGTGGAGGAAACAAGTGGCTAATTCCTGTGTGTTTTGCAGCTTGGGGAGTGCGTTTCAAGGGACAGTTATCCCGAGGGCAATGTGACGTGGTACAAAAACGGGAGAGTTTTGCAGCCCGTGGATGATGGTATGTTTGGGAAATGACCAATGTCCCTGGATGGGTGCATGCATGAGGAGYTGTGCTTGTAAGGGTTGCTCTGCTTTATTCTAATGGATTCCTCCTTTGAGAAAAACTGCTCAAATGGAAAGACACAACTGGAAGGAGATGTTGAGGCCTTTCAGAGCACCCAAGCGATGCCACATAATCCTTCTCTTTTTGTTCCAGTTTTAAAACCACATCAGGGAAAGGCAATTGTCTTTATTAATGCTATCACAAAGCTGGTTTTGAGCCTATGTGGTTGATAGAAACCTGTATCTAATTTCCAGCTTCTTATAAGGTATTAACTGTCTCAATTACATACTTTATATGGTCCAATATTTTGAGCCATACAGACCATCATCTTATACAACTATTTATTTTTCCAGGATATGTAACAACAACCATTTTTTTTTCCTTCTTTTTAACTCTGGCTTTTCCTTCTTTTCAACTTTGATATTTGATCAGGCTACAWTATTTTTCCTTCCATAAAGTAGGGGATTCTTAAAAACTAAATCTGATCCTAAATTTTTTACAATCATTTTTGAGGCTTTCTTTTGGTCGTAGGAATTAGGCTGAGATTCACATTAAAAACCTCACCAGTCTGCAACTAGTTTTTTGTTTGGATTTGATTAAAAATATTTGGTAGGTTAGGAGCGTGTTTTTGGTGAAATGTTCCCAGTATACCTCATTGCAATACTGGAGGAAAACTTTGCACAATCTCTTGGGTGACGTGTTATGTTGCTTGTACATTTTCAGCCTGGTCATAAATACAGAGCAGGCAACAGCATACAGGAAAAAGTTTTCAAATTCTGTCTGTGTGAAACTGAAACATGTTTTCCTTTTCAGTTGTGGTCATAAATTTGCAAAAGATTGTGGACAAAACAACCGGACTCTACACCTTGACATCATCTCTTCAGTACATGCCAACAAAGGAAGATGTAAATGCCAAGTTCTCTTGCATTGTGACTTATCATGGACCATCTGGACAGGAGACWATGCAGTCTGAACCAGTTGTCTTCGATGTTCACTGTAAGTTATCAAAAAGCATCTTTTGCTGTGCAAAGTCTACCTCTGGGGCGGGGGAATGGAAAACCAGAAACTGTACAAAATCAGAGAGCCATTGCTGCTTSGTTATTGAAATGGTTTCTTCAAAGTTGCTTTGCATCAAGAAGGTCTGAGTACATTGTCCAGGTGATTATTATTATCTTCACATTTACCTGAGATTTTTTTTTCTTATAGAATACTGATTATCAAGATTTCATTGGCAAGAGAAAAGTGGTAGCCATAAAAAGTTACAGTGAARTGGGCTTTTGAGAATTTTAAAAGAAGTTGTAGTGGTTGATTAGAGTGACTCTCTGTGCCCCTGAATTATGGAGTAAATACACAATACAGTTTGTAGCAAATTCAAATGTTTTTCATCTTTGCAGAGTCAGCACCAAGCAGTTAACGCTGTCTATCTTGCACAAAATGCTTCTTTACAGCTGTAAGATGCTGTGTTTTACATTTAAAATGCATCATTTGAATACTGATAGACTTTTAATGTATTTGTGTAAATAATTGTTTCTAACTGGACTGTGTTCTAAAGCAGCTTCCTTACTGTGTTAGTGATGTGGAAATCATGTCATTCCTTTGAATAAACAGAAGAGGTTGTTGGCAAGGGAGGATCAGAGGAGGTGGCAGCACTCAGAGACCAGGGGAAGAGRCATTTCAAAGTCTTRTGAAATTTCCCTTCTGMAKKATTGTGGAAGGCAGCAGGTCACAGCAGGGTGTAGAGGAACGGGAGACAGACAATATGTCCAGTCAAGCGTTACCTCTCTGCACACTTCAGCTAGTACCTCATAAGAGATAAGTCCCCCCCATGTTTTGGGAATGATAAGGGGTCTAAGTATACAGTCCAGCATCTAATAGGGTCTTAACATGTTTGTTAGGACAAACATGTGTAATCAACTGAATATAACTGTGTAATCCAACTGAATACAAAGAAATTCAGGCACTGGATTTGTCCAGGTAGCATGAGTGCACCATTGTTTGAAAACAAAAGCCGCAGGCTGAAGGTGCCACGTGTTCTGTTCTGACAATAGCTGCTTCTCCTTTACAGGTGAAGTTTGTTGAGCTGCAGGGTAGATATCAGTTTTGGCCTGGGTAAATAAAACCAGACCTTGGAGCAGCTGGTCTTTGGTTTCACCTGGAATTAAAGCTGTCTTTTACCAGCTACTTTTTCCAGAATGACAACCAGCAGAAATAGTGGAGAAGAAAACCTCTGGCCCAGCTGTTACCCATAGAAATATCATAGACATTTCAAACCTGCAGACACCTATCCCATCACTTTAAAGCTA